GCCCTGTGCTCCAGACCCTGCCCCAGCTCCGCTGCCCTTCAGACACAGCTTGGCGTTAGGGGTTGGGCTCCCCACACAAAGCCGCAGCCCCGGGGTGCTGTTCATCAGCACGACTGGGCTGTGCGCTGGAGCGCTGACGAATGCTTTCTGCAGAATTTGATAGATTTATGGACAACTGCTTTCCCGACAACTCACCCCCTGTGAGGCAATGCAAGCCCTGAGAGAAGCCTTGAAGCTGATTGTGGGAGAACAAAGTCCAAAACACGGATGCCTCAAGCATGAGAAAACCAAGCACAAGGAGCCCAAAGGCTCAAGGGGACCCAAAGGGACACAGAGCACAAGCCACGCAGCGCATACAGGAACATAAATTAATTTTGAGCGTCTGCCAAGTCACTGTGACCTGGCTGCACATGATGTGTTTGGATTAGTGAAATCTAGAAGGCGGCTACTTCCCCTCCAAGTGTTAAATACTTGCCATAAGACGTACTAGGAAATACTCAGGAATAGCCTGCGATAAGTAGCCTGCAACGAGAGGGAAGACAGCCAGCATTGCACAATTTGCAGGGTGTAGCCGAGGCGGATCTGCCCGCCTCAGAATGTCGTAACACCATTGCCTCATCAGGCACATCCTCCCGTGCCACAGCCTCTTGCCATCTGCATGCCACCCGCATCGCTTGCTTACATATGAAAAAATACAAATGTGTTAATGAAAAGCCACTGAAAGTTTATCCCAACTGATGACTGTTCATTGCTCGCACCTATTTGTTTATAGGAAGGTAGTTCAACTTAGTGAATTCTGCAATGAAAGATAAACAACTCGCGTTACCTTGTTCTCTTCCACGCCTATGTGCGGTTGCCAGAGCTTAGCGAGCGCTAAAAACGTGGCCACGTCTGAAACTTAAATCTACTAAGTATTTTTCGTTTGTGTGGTACAAAATACGCACGAAGATGTTGCCAGTCTGCTTCTGGAGCCAAGAATTAATACTAAACTGTTTTCACAATTCATATAAAGACAAAGTAAAAGGTGACATTTGAATGTTTTATTCAAGTTGGGCTTGGGTTTTTTTATCCATTTTTAGTAGTGTCAAGTACAGCATTTTGGGGTCTAGTTCCACACAAAATGGAAGACTCTCTAAAAATGTACCCATTTAGTTGCTAAAAAAAAGTGGTAATAAAACAAAAGTCCATTTTAAATTTAGTGATGCAACTATGTGATTACAGTTACAAAGACTCTTCCCTGATTATGGCCCTGTCTTACAAGCTTTCCAGTCAGTGCAAGGGAAAGGAACCACAACACAGGACAGGGAGTATTGGCTGAGTCACATCAAACCTCCTCCGCAACGGACTTACACAAGGTGGACAACCTAAAGCATTCTGGAGACAGCTGCAGGTGTAAGATAACCAAAAAAGACAAACCATTCATGAAATGCCTAGCTAAATAAATTCTTTTTTTTTTTTTTCAAAAATCCCTTTTTCAGACAAGTTTGCACATTCCATCGTGAATTGAAACCTTAAGTGTTGGAACATTTTGCTTACGGAATTAACAGTACAATATAGTGCTCTGCGATTCTTAACGTCTCTGTTTTTATACCACATTAAAATATTCCTCATGCAGTCAATACCTTAGGAAAGGTAATCGGCACCTTCCTACTTCCTATCATGTGGCAGCTGACAGATGCGATGGGCAATCACATTAAAAAAAAAAAAAGCCTGGAATTAGGATTTTTTTTTTTTTATGCTTTTGTCTCCGTTTCTTTAACAACATCATTTTTAAAGCTTAGCTGTCTTTAACCAGGACTAGCAGGACTGATACTTAGCAATACTTGCATCCCAGACATAAAACATTGAAAGGTACACTATATTCTGAAGGTAGCTATGCTGTATTTTCAAATTAGCGATTGTAGAATCACTCCTTATGCTTCAAATTCCAATCCTAGACCAAGTTTGTGACCACCCGCGTTGACATTTTTGCCATCCAACAAAGCTGACAGTGTCAGTTTGATACCTGCGAAATAGAGAAAAGTGAGAGAAAAGACCGACTGTTAAAACTTGGAAGGAGCTTTATGTTCAGCAAGCGCAGCGTCTGTGTTGCTGCTTTAATTTATCGGCTAGCTAGGTTAATGTCATTTGGCAGCTAGCCTTGGAAGGACTGGGCATTTCAAAACAATCTGCAAATATGAAATCTTTCTGAATTAGGAAGTCAGAATAAACCACGGTGATAGATTCTGCTTTTTATCACTCTTAAGTAATTACAGCTGAGTCAGTTCACTGCTGCTGGTCTACTGATTAATCTAATTTTAGAGCCCAGAATTATGAAAAATTGGGACCTTGATACATACCCAACTTTCTAAACCACTTTAAAATCCAGGTATGAAAAGGCCTAAGCCCTGTCTACTGCAATCTCTCATGTCAATCTGCTTGGTATTCTGGCAGCAGATTGATTAGACTACATTAAAACCAATTTCACAGCAGTAAGATTGTCCTCTTCCTGGGCCAGGGGACTTTGAGAAAGTCACATTTTCAAGCAAAATAAACTCAGTAATAGGAAGCATCTGAAAGTACTAAAAACGCATTTACGTATCTGTGAAACACCTAATTGTAGATATATTTTCTATCAACGTAAAAGAGTATCCGACTGCTCAGTGGATGGTAGCCTCTAATAATCCTGCTTGCAACAGTCATCCAAAATTAACAGAGCAGTCCCTGGATAAGTTCATCGTTGGGTTGCCAGGCAGAACAGCAGTGTTACAAAACGATTCACAATTTTGTCACAAAAAAACCTCTTTGATATTTCCAGACTAAAATATCACTTATTGATGTCTGAATTTCTTCTGCATAGACTTACCTGGCTTTAAAGTCTGAGTGTATCCTAAGCCGATCAGACTGGAGTTGTTCACTTTAGCCTTAAAGGGAAAAAATACTATGTGTAAATAAAATAGTATCTTTCTTCAAAGTCCTTCCTACTTGAAAATTAAATAACACTTTTTAAGCAGGTGAAGGATTTAATCTTTTAAATCACCAAAAAGAAAATCTGGAGTTGGTTTTGCCTCAAAATCTCAAAACAGTGCCCAATAATACGATAAAACATTCTGTGTCACTTTTAAGGAAAAGCCAATAGTTGTGTTCTCGTGCTGCCAAAACCAAGACAAATAGATGTATGTGCCAGCTATACACCACAGAACTGCATCAAAACCGTACTTTTACTGATGTAAAGGTCGCTTCGCATTTCCGTTACATGAGCCTATTTTCAAATGCATATAAATGTACATGCATAGCACTCACAGAAAAAGAGGCATCTGGGTCAATCTGATACTTGGCTGCTATTCCAAAGCGAGTGTTGCTATTACCGGCTGTCCAAGCAAGATTCACGGCAGTTTCCAGTTTATCATTCACCTTCTGGTAAATGGAGCCTCCAAATTCTGTTCCATCATTCCTGGAAGGAACGCATTCGTCTAGTTTTAAACTGCACCCCGAAACAATCATCTTTTTTTTCTTTTCCCCAGTAAGATCTATATGCAGAACATTCACTTACACCTCATTTAATATCCCTGTAACAACTAAGAAAGAGACATTAGGCCAGATTGGTTATGAAGTCGATGTTAAATGCTTAAATTTATTGATGGTTACTACATTTCAACAAGCGACTTTGGAAAAAAAGCCATGACAAGCTATCAAATATAGACTAATGATGACAGCTTCCAATTTCCCCTTCTCTCTAGATGGGAGTCTTTGTAGTAAAGAGATTTATTCTTCTCTGCATATCTCCGAAATAATTATTTTTCCCAGGCATACGTCTCCCTAGTGCCCGGAAAGGGCCGTACCCCAATCACCGAGCCCGAGCACTCATCCTAACACTGCCTCGTCAGCACGCTTTTACCAGACACTGATGAACTGTATCAGAAGTGAAGATGCCAATTTAATGTCCGAGTCTATCGGCTGTTGCAAATGAATACCATTTGCAATAGCCCTTATGGTACATATGTACTATAGAGATCTCTCTGCTCGAAACCGAAATGAAACTAATTTTCCTTTGCAGAGAGCACTGGCCAACAGCTGAATGATGACAGCCTTCTACCACTGCTGCTGCCGAGGAGCACAACGTCCAATTACTACTGACATCAATGTTAGGGAATAAAGTGCGGTAAATAAAACGCAAAACGTCGGAGCATGCAGATCATAGAAACAAGAGCAAAAGACTTCTAAAAGCCTTGCACTCCTTGTAAACCAGGGAGCATCTGGATTTCCATTTTCGCTCATTTTCTTAAAAGAGGATACAAACATACTGCACGAAACGGGCTTTAAACCACAGCAAGACCTCTGCAAAGAAAATACTTGTGGTTCTTTCTAAACTATGAAATAATCTGGTTCCAATTATTAGAGCATTCCAAACATTAGAGAAAGGGGCAGATTCACAATCTCTCCACTTTTACCCCTTCGGCCTGACGTTCCTTAGTTCATAACAGTTGCACAAACAGTAGTGATGAGCCTATTCAAAAGTTCAAGCAATAGCAGCAGCCTTTTAAATTGTTAGAGCAATTCTTCCAGAAAAACACTACAATACTTACTTCAGATAAGACTGAAGCTCACACATAACTGCATGTGCTTGGCTCTCAAGAAAAGGAGGGATTAAAAAGGACTGAGGAGAGCTGGTTATACAGGCAGATTTTGTGCAAGGTTCCCACACAGCTCTGTCTTGACCTGCAACATTAGGGGGGGGGCGGTCTGAGCTATGCTTAAAAAACGAGGCAAGTCATATTTAAAACTAGAAATTATCCAGCCCTACCTCCCTTTAGTTATTATTTATTATT